GGGAAAACCAGCCTACCATATGTCTTCAGGGCTACAGTCAGTTAACTGCCAGCCTGGAACGGACCGGCTGTTTGCAGACTGGGAAGGCAGAGACCTGAGCTTAAGGCTGGTGGAGTAGGGACTGAGGGAAAGGCAGGATGATGGCTGCCAGGGGCCTCAGCTTCACCAGTGAACTTCAGGGGGCTCCAAGCAGGGGCTGGAGCTACACCTTTCCAGTTGTTCTCTTTTCTCACACAGCTAGGACATCAGAGCATGCTCTACAAAGGGTTCAAGCCAGAGGGAAAAAACCCTGCTTTGCTCACCTTCCCCTGGTCCCTCACTTGGTCTGGGGAAAGGCAACACAACAGTGAGGACCGCTAGGTGGGAAGGTTTTGCAAGAAAGGGACACTAAGCCCCACCTGTTCTTTCCATCTGCCAGAGTCTGCCAAATAGAGGAGAAGGGGTCAAGGCCACACAGAGGGGACAGTCTTCCCATCTCTTCATTTCCTCCTTTCTCCTTCATCTGTCCTTTCATATTCCTCCTTTTTCCTTCTTCCTACCTCTGTGGTTCAGAGATAGCAGTAAAGTTTCTCTACTCAGGCTTTTCTGCCAGCCTCTATTACTTGCAAGGCCCCAGGCCTCTATCAGAGGGATGCACTGGGCCTCAGGCAACTCTGACACCATGAACAGGAAACTTGTAATGTGTGAAGCTCCTTTATGTCTACAGATTTGCCGGGACATGTTCTCCGGGCTCTGGGACACACACTCTGCTGATCCACGATTGGGATATGCCTGCTGTCCACCTGCAGGCCGGCCTTACTATCACCACTGCCCAATAGGGACAGTGGGAGCCCTGGCCTACTCCGTAGCCACACAGGCTTCCGAGCAGGCCTGGTACAGTTCACACAGAGGGTGGAAGCTGTGCCACCTGTTCAGGAAAGCATGGGGCACAAGAGATAGGTGAGGCCCTAGCAAAGTAGACGGGCACCAGACTAAGTGTGAAAGGGAGTGGTGGGCCTACAAGGCCTGACAAGAGTGTATCACTTCAAAACACAGGGCACACAAGGCCTTTTCACCTGTCCCGGAGCTATTTGGCTAGTTCAGGACAGACTAGATGCTGGCCAGTTTAGGTTCAGAATCTGTGGGTGCAGTGTCTGCTGTGTCTTATGTACATGCTCACAAGAAAGATTTTTGTGGTTGTTGGGTTTGAGTTTAGGTGTTGCATAGGGGTTTTATTGAATAAATAAGCATAGCATTTCTTATATTAACCATGTTAAAATATGCAATTCAGGGCATTAAAATGTTCACACTGCAGCCATCACTATTACCATCCACCTTTAGAACTCTCTCTCATGCTTTCTTTTTTTTTTTTTTTTTCTTTCTTTTTTCTTGAGATGGGTTCTCACTATGTAGCCCTGGCTGACCTGGAACTCACTATGTAAACCAGGCTAGCCTTGAACTCACAGAGATCCACCTCTCTGTGTCTCCTGATTGCTAGGTGTGTCCCACCATGCCCTGCTAGACTCTTCTCTTCTCAAACAGAAACCGCATCACCATGAGCCACCAGCTCCCTGCTTCTCCCCAGCCTCAGCATCGAATGGGGAGAATGGTTGCTCCTGTCTGTGGGATCTGACAGTCAGAGGAACTTTGTATAGATGGAATTGCAGTCTCGTCTTGTTGCGACTGGCTTACTTCACTCAATCTGATGTTGTCCAGGTCCCTCCCTGCCACAACATGTGTCAGAGGCCCCTCCTGCTAAATACTGCACAACCATCTACTGTATGGACAGGCCAAATACGCTTATCTATTCATCCATCAGCAGACACCCGGGCTGCTACGAACATGGCAGCTAGATCTCTCCATCTCTGTTTTCTGTTCTGGGTACACACCCTGACGTGGAATTGCTGGGTCACATGGCGTGCCTTTGATTTTTTTTTTTTTTTTTTTTTTTTTTTTGAGGAAGTGCCATGCTGTTTTCAAGCAGCTTCGTCGTTTCACATTCCAGCAAATCCACATCTTCATTGGCATATTTTCTACCTTCCTGATAGTAGCCACCTTAACAGGTGTGACACTCACCCCAGCACAGTTTCCCCAAATAATTAGCCTTATTTGTCCTTTATATGTGTCTGACAGAGAAATGTCTAGTAGTTTTTACTTATTGTGCTGTATTTATGAATGTTAGAAAGTTTTATATATTCTAAATTTTATTCCCCTGTCATATGGATGGTTTGTAAGTATTTTTCTCACTAAATATTCTGATTGCTGTATTTTCTTTTTTTTAAATATTGCGTTCAGACGAACAGTGTTTTCATGTTGATAAAGTCCAAATTATCTGCTATTTTTGACATCCATGTTTGTATGGTTGTATCCAGGAAGTCATGGCCAGAGCCACTGTGTTGGGCCCTCTTCATTTCTTTCAGTGCTTATGCTGTGGGTCCTTGCCAAGTTGCGAATGACCAGTGGCTCCATGCCCTCTCCTGCCACTGAAGGCAGAATTGCCCTCCAAGGCCTTCTCCTGGTTGTATCTTGGTATTCCGTCTCCACCCATTCCTTGAGGATGGGTGACAGAGGGCAGGATCCCTGAGCTACCCCTAGCAGTCACTAACCAGGACCATCTGCCAGCCATCCTTTGAACAGGCCAGGTAAGCACTGAGCAGGTAGAGGGTGAGGTTCTCCTCTGCCCAAGGACCTCCCAGGTCCTTATCTGGATCCCTCAGATACAGTTGGCCCCTCTTATATATGCCATCCCTGGCCCTGGGAATGCCATCATTTGCCTTCCCTGACCCAAACCTTCCTGGAGTAGGAACATGATGTTAGAAGTCCTCATAAAGGGTTCTGTTTGTCCCTTCTGTGTGAATGCCAGGTGCCCAGAGCCTCACCCCTACCCTGCCTTAGCCTCACTCAGCAGCCAGGAATGAGGATGGTGTCATTCAGCCTCAGAAGTAGCTGATGCTTGGCCCTGTCATGGCTCTGACATCCCGGAGCACAGTTCATGTGAAGGACAACTCTCTTGAAGAGGGTGGAGGGCACAAAGGAATGACATGCCCTGTTCTTGCTTTGCAGCCCCAGGATAGCCTGTCTGGCCGGAATTGCTCTGGAATCCGGCTTGCTGTCTGTGGCCATCTCTGTCCCTTTGGTGACTCTGTGCCCCCAAGACAGGGTGGACTGCTCACGTGCTGAGCTCACAGGTCCAAAGGCAGCAACCATTGCTCACGGGGAGTGGCTCTTGAGGGCAGACAAGGCTGGGCTGACCTGGGTTGTAGCCCCTTTGCTGCCCAAAGTGCATGTCCTGTAGGCTGCGACAGAGAGTGATCTGGAGAGTGTTCCAAATCACTGTGCTGAGACTAACCTCCCACCATCGCCAGCGTGTCTGTGCCTGTCCATGCCTGAGGCCTGCCATGATGACGTTTCTGTTCCGCACCACCACAGCTGTGAACTGTCCTCCAAGAAACTGGGAAGCCAGGTCTTGCCATGTGCTGGGGCTGTTGCAGGCATGGAGGAAGAAAAGATGACAAAAGCCTCCCCTGAAAAGGAGTCTCCCTCTGAGTCCAGAAGCATTAAACAGCCAGACAGACAGGAGGCCACAGGACCTCTTTGTTATTTGCATGCTATGCCAGAAAAATAGATGAATGCATTTGTGCTTTCTGTGGCAAAATCAGGGGAGGACAGACAGTAAGGCCAGAGCATGTCCTTGACAACTGCAGTGGGACTCGCTTCCCAAACCTCAGGACAGGAGGCTCAGCCTAGTCTATTAGGAGGAGGGTCAGGACTGGTCAAGGCCCTCCTATGACCCACTATCCTCAAAGACGAATCCAGCAGGGTTTATTACAGAACACGGTCTGGGCTTACGCTAAAGACTCTCCTTGTCATCGATAGCGCTGGAACAGAGGCTACATTCATGGACCACAAAAGGGCCCAGACCAACCCCAGTATCCAGAGTAGAAGCCTTAGGCTCCTGGGCATGGCCAGGAGGGGCTATATTTGTGAACAACACCACGGGCTTTCCAGACAACAGAGGAGGACAGAGCAAGGCAGTTGTCAGTTGGTTGAGTGCATCCTAGGAAGTAGAGATGGAATACAAAGGGTCAGAAGGTGTGCCTGACGGGAGAACAGATTGTTCACCCTCAGGAACAGCCTTCCAGCTCCTGGGACACTCCACGACACCTTTTTCATGAGCATGCTATGCCAGAAAAATAAATGAACACATCTGTGCTTTCCATGTCAAAATTTATTGAATAACAACAAACACACAAGGTTTAGCAGTTCCAAAAACATAAACTTGTCATGCAATTCCACCTGCCCTGGTAGCGTGGCCCACGGTGAAGGTAGATTCTTTTATTCCAATTTTAATTATTAATATTAACTTTGACATCACATAGCACACAGTAAATATCTCTCTATATCTGTATGCATATGTATGGGTTACAGAATGAATGCAGAGAGAGAGAGACTTGAGCAGAGTTCAAAAGGTTTCAGAACTAGGTTAAGAGTCTGTATTGATAAGATTATGAACCAGATCAGTGCCATGAGGATAACCAAGAAGAGATGCAATTCTGTACAGCTAGGTAGAGCACACTGCAGAGCAGGAAACCTCCCAGGCTCCAAGGGGAAGGTCTGTCCCTCCCTAATCCTTAGACATCTGCAACACGTTCTCTGACACATGAACTAAATCAGTTCGTGACCCTGAAGGGAGGATGGGCTTGTGGTCTGCACCGCTAGGCATGATCAGCAAGCAAGCAGTCTCCCTGGAGGTAACTGGGGGCTCCGGAAGAGGCTGGTCTCTCCCTCAGGTCCGCTTCACTCCAGGTCTCCAGGGAAACTGCTTCGGCCAACAGTGTCCCTTAGTCCTCACAACAAGCCCTTACTCCAATTTCCAGGGAAACGAGCCCTCAGCGTCCTGGTTGCCCCTGGTTGCCGCAGCAACCCACATGGGCTTGTTTAGAGTGTGGTCTCCACAATCAAGGCGGGGCAGCAACTGAAGCGAGTGAATTCAACAGGGCAGAACCAGGGCAGCGGCTCCACGGAGAGAACGCGGGTGTGGGGAGGCCGCAGAGGGTGTGGGCGCTTGAGGCTCAAGGAGCAGACGCGCTGAGGCGTCCAGGCACTGCCTAGCTGAGGTTCTGTGCTCTTGGCCAAGATGAGTTCCACTTCCAGCAATCCCGATGATGGGGACACCACGGAGCAGTCTCAGCTGGGGCTGGACACCGTGATCCAGGTCAGTGAAGTGGCTGCCGTCTGTGACCCCTGGAGAGCAGGTCCTCAGAGCACTTTAGATAGGACGCTGCTGGAGTGCAGGTGTGCCTCCCAGGAGCAGGCTGTACCTGTGTGCGTGCTCAGTGTGAATGCGCTTGCCAGAAATGAGCAGCCCAGAAGGCCAGAGCCGGCTCTGGACCCTGGGCTTGGAGCCTACATACCAAAAGCGAAGCAACACTGTTTCAGCGGCCAGGTATGGGAGCAGTTGGGTCTGAGATGGAAGAGGGCTTTCCGTTAGGGGGTATCCCCAGTGCCTACGCTGCAAGCTGCAGAGGTTTCATTTCTATCTTTGCAGAACTTACCTGTAAAACAGTACCAATGCAATTAACCCTGCACCCTCTCCCCATCACAGCCTCCCATTCCTCAAAGCCCACCTACTTACCAGTCTGCTGTCCCTCATCTAAGCCTCCACAGCATGCTTCCCCTACACTGTCATCATCCAGCCTCCAGCCAGGCAGTCCCCAGCCCCTGGGCGATGTCAGTGTACCCCAGATGGACCTTCTGACCCAGGGTGTTCATTAATCAAGCTCTCAGACCCTCAAAGCCACGCTGCAGGGGGTTGACGTGGTCCTAGGTAAACAATACATCAGGTCCCCTGAAAGAGTTAACCGCCCAGATGGCGCCAGGTGGCTAAATAACCTGGTAGCATCTTTGTAGGCATAGGCATACACACCTGCCCACACAGGACAGACCATGACACAAGCAGTATTAAAGTCGGCTGTCGTGGAGGAAATGGCTCAGTGGGTGGAGACAGTTGCCATCAAGTCTGATGACATAAGTTTGATCTCTGGGAGTCATATGGTGAGGGTCCAACTCCCTAAATTTGTCCTCTGACCTCCACAGATACTATATGGTGCACACACACACATGCACGCACGCACGCACGCACACACACACACACACACGCACGCACGCACACACCACAAACAAATAAATGTGCTTAAAAGAATAAGTTAGTTGATGCAGCAAGACAGGAGAGTGCGATGGGTGGGGACCCTCTGTGAGCTCTCTACCCCAAAGTGTCTCAGGCTCAGCTGTGAGCACAAGGTTCAAGAAGAGCGTCAGCACACCACAGCTCACAAAACACAGGCCAGCCCCCATCTGAGCACACATCACCCTGAAAGGACATGATCAGCTCCTTGGAGGCCTGAGGGTGGAACTGGGAGACTGTGTGTTTGCCAGTGGACTTGAGGTAAAAGCCCAGAATGATGCAAACGTCTCTGGGGAAGGGTGCTGGGGGCCTCTGCATGCAGCTAACCCCACTGTCCCTGGGAAGCTGTCACCTGAAGGTCCTCCAGAGCCTGGTGAGGCTTTTCTGTCTGCCCAGCTGCACCTACTATTTGCACAGCTCTGATTGAGATCTCTGTGCAATTACATGAGGTGAGCATGCACCAGGCAGGCGCCAGGAGATACCCAGATAGGCCTATCAGTCTTGTGGCCGGACTCCAGGGTACATCCAGGTACCCCTCTGGATACATACAGGGAACTGTGGGACCCAGAGAAGGGGCAAAGCTTGAGTGAGAAAGCTACCTACATGGCCAAGAGCATAGGCTTTGGCATCAATCTGCTCCCTCTGCCTGGAAGAGCTCTTCAGCATCCCTCTTCCATGGGCCAGATTTCCTTTCCCTTGCCTCATCTGCGCACACACACACACACACACACACACACACACACACACACACATCAGCCACTGCACAGCACCCAGCCCCAAAGGCCTCTTGAGAGCTAAACCTGAGACAAGGACCAGGCTTGGAAGCCCTGAAAGGCTCAGAAGTCCCTAGAAGAGAACACATTGGCTCAGTGAGTTCAAAGACCCCCTAAAATTACATATGAAGGGGGGAGGCTCACTGTGCATCAGGAAGAGGAGCTTCCTGGATCCTGAAGACCCAGAACTGCAGACCCGAGGCAGATGGGAAGTGGTATGGGGAGATCTTCCACTATTGACTTGGTTGCTTTTCAAGCTGTTTCTTTTGGGTTAAGTTCTAGTTTCTCGGAACTTGTCCATTATAAATTTTCATATTTGCTGGCAAAAGCTGTTGCTGTGGTTTGGGTGTGGTCTGAATGTGCCCCCAAAGGGTTCATGAGCTGGAAGTCCAGGAGGTAATGGTTATGAAGTGGAAGGCGTTTAGGTCATGGGGCACTGGCCCCAGAAGGAATTGATCTGCTTCTCTCTGGCCCCCATTTCCCTCCAGAATGAGTTGTTATTAAGAAAAAAAAAAAGGCAGCAAAGCTCCTGAGCTCTCTGACTCCTTCCTTCCATACGCCGTATGCTCTGTTCTCTCATATATTCATCTATCACAATGGCATCTGCCATGTTGGAATATAGCCAGACACCTTTCCAGTACCCAGAAGAGGCACTGTGTCCAGCACAGCCAAATGACCCTCATTTCTATACAAAGCCCAGCCTCGCCATAGCAGCAGGACATGAAAAGGCAGTGGCTCATATGCTTCTGTCTTTTTAAGATCATGGGACCTGAAGCAGCGAGAGCAGTGACCTCTGCCTCCCAGTAAGGTGTCCAGAACTCAAGACCTTCTGTGTAAGTCCAAGAAACGCTTGGACTAGCCCTGAGTGTCACCTGCTCCTTCAGCTCCTTGGCTGGTGGCATGCAGTTGTCATCTTAGTTAGGGTTTCTACTGTTGTGATAAAACACCATGATCAAAAACAACTTGGGAAAGAAAGGGTTTATTTCATCTTTGAGTTTGTAGCCCATCATCCAGGGAAGTTGAGGAAGGAACCAGGAGGCGGGAACTGATGCAGGGGCCATGGGGAATGCTCCTTAATGGCCTGCTCGGCCTGCTTTCTTATTCAGTCTAGGACCCTGTCCAGGGGTGACCCTGTCCTCAGCACATGCCTCCCCATCAATCGTTAATCCAGTCAATATCCCACAGATTTGCATGCAGGTCAATCTTATAAAGGCATTTTCTCATTTAAGATTTCCTCTTCTAATGGCTGGAGATGGCTCAGTGGTTAAGAGTACTGTCTGCTCTTCCAGGGGTCCTGAGTTCAATTCCCAGCAACCACATGGTGGCTCACAACCATCTATCCTGGGATCTGATGCCCTCTTCTGGCATGCAGGTGTACACACAGATAGAGCACTCATACATAAAAATAAATAGATCTTTTTTAAAAAAAGATTTCCTCTTCCCAGGTATGTCTAGGTTTATGTCAAGTTGACAACAACAGCAACCAGGGAAATTCCCTTTATGTTCTTTCATATTTAACCAGCTCTCATATTTATTTTCCCTTTTCTTTTAACTTGTGGGTTTGTTCATCTGATTAGAAAAATGTGCATGGCTCACTGACTTTCAGCCTTTTTCAATTTTTAATTTGTAATAAGAATAAATAACATAATATTCACTGTTTTCCCCATGTTAAAGTGCAGTTCAGTAGTATTTGCACCATTCTCAGGCATTACCACCATCCAGCCCCAAAATGGTTTCATCTTCTCAAATTGTCATTGTCATTATACACTAACTCTCCCAGCCCATGGCGGCCATCACCTTTCTATCCCTGTATATCTGATAGTTCTAGGAGCCTCTCATGGACGGAACCTGTCAGCTTGTTTCACTTAGCACAACCTCAAGGTCCTTCCATACTGTAGCGTGGCTAAGTCCTCCTGTGGATGGACTGTTCATCGCTCACCGGATCATCTCTCCGTGGACCACTAAGCTGCTTCACCACTGTGAGCTGTGCTGCCATCAGCAGTGTGCAGGTCCATCCATCTGGGTCTCTGCTTTCACTTTTGTAGGGTCTGTTCTAGAAGAACTGTGGGATCTAGCTCAAATTCTACATGAATCCTTAAGGAACGGCCAGCTTACTTTTCCACAGTGGCTCCACCATTTTATATTCTTGCTTTCTTCTGTGTTTAAAGCAAGATGTTAGCTGTAGGAACTAACCACCATGGTTAGTGCTAGGACTCAGCTCAGCCGCACAGCATAAAGCACTACAAATGCCACTATAGGCTGCCCTCTGTCCTCTGCCCTCTGCCCAGCCAGCTAAATCTGAGGTCCCCTCAAGCTTAGTAACCTGCCAGAACGGCTTGCACCATTCAGGCACCTCTTTCCTGACTTAAGGACTCATTCAGGGACATCTACAAAGGAGTGATGTCAGGTATGGGGAGGGACACAGAGCTGAAGCACCCTGTCGGGGTACATGCTTGCCCCAGCCCTGCATCTACACCAAGCCCCTCACCGGGGCTTTCATGGGGATCTCCTGTGTAAATATTACTAATTGTAAATATTACTGATTGTCCCCAGGGGCTTCAGTACTAGATCACCAGACATCTTGGGGGTGGGCAGAAAGAGCCAGGGCTCTCCTTTTGCCTTTGTCATTCTGGAGCTCCCTGGGGACCCAGCCACCTCTCTCTCATTCCCATTCAAAGTCACTCCTTACTCCAAAGATCAAGGGTCCATGATTGCAGGAGTGCAGGCCTACCAAGGCCTGTGTAAGGCCAGGAGCCGACAGTGGTCTGAGCATAGCCTGGCCACAGCACCAATCACGCGCCCTGCAGGGAATGACACAGTGGTTGTCTGTCTCCGGGGCCACATGTCCAGACGCCAGTGTCACTGCACTGACCAGATGGCTCACATCCTCTTCCCTGACCTTCTTTACCCACGGTCCAGAGACGGGCCCCAGCCTCCTCAGCAGAACACTCCAAGCCTTGACAAGGGCTCTGCAGGTTTTTTTCCCCTGTCTAGCCCACCCCCTCTTTCTTCTTCCTCCTCCCTCCTTCCTCCTCCCTCCATGTTCTTAATTCTGGGCCTTTGCTGCACTGATTTGCTTGCCTACCATCTTCCCCAGGAAGACTGTGTGGGTGTCGGGACATAGGAGCAGACAAGACAGACAGCCTCCTCACCCTGCTGAGCATTCCCTGCCATGAGTCATTTTGTAGTTAACGATTCACACCTTTGGTGGTTCCAGCAAGGCTTTCAATTACTTGCCTTGGGAACCTGTCTGAGCCT